TCTATTCTTTAAACCCCACCCAGAACCTCATACCACTAGCTTCTATTTTCATTTGATACACAACTTTGTCTTGTCGTTACTATTTTAATGTAAGGCTTTCAAGGTTGATGCTACATGTATGTAACTTGAGTTGTGTGTTTGTACTGGCGTGTCCAGCAGGAACTGTTACCCTTTTGAAGCATCCGAGTTTACGCTCGACTTTGGAAGGAGTTCGTGTTGCTCAATATTAATCTTCTTTGTTAAACAAATAACAAACCGATTGAAACAAAATGGTCTCTGAAATTGACATCATTTACTGGAATATACTACGTTTGCAGGATATTTTGTCTCCGACAACGGTGGTGAAAAAGATAAATGCGGTTGTGATTATCAACCATCATACATAAATACATTTTAGTTTTGTTGTTAGAACTTCTATTTTAGGGACTTATGTTTTACCTTGGAGGGGGGGGGGGGGGGGGGGGCGGGAGGAGAGGGGGAGGGTCTGGTCGTTTTCAAATCAAACATTATAAATTTTTCTTGACACCCCATAATATTTCACTATTTTTATTTTATCTCCTCTCCCCCCCCCCCCCCTTTCAAAATATTTTTAAAACAATGTGATCCCCCTCTATTAAACATGCCAAAATTTGTACATGCAAATCACTTACCTTTGACACACATGATATGTAGGATATACTTGAAGATTCAAAAGTTCACCGAAATGTTTCATTAGAGATAAAATTGATCCACCCACTTTAATTTATAAAAAAAACTGAACCCCCTTTTCCACTTACAGAAAAAAACTTATTGAATATATTCTTATAGCAATGTGTTTTTTTTTTCGTATTGTTCACAAAAAAAGTTTATGTGTGTAAAAGAACATGCTAGCATTGTGCGATAATGCTTTTTGTTTTATATTCTCTAATAAACCTATAGTTGATAGTGACCTCGCGGACAATGTGCCAAAATATTTAAAAGTTTAGTTTATAATGGAAATAATATTTTCTCGTCAGATTGCCTAATATAATGGCAAATGTCTTTCATCTTTCAGTTTCACAAGACAAACTATTAAAATCTAATCATGAACAATAACAAACTGGACATTTTCTTTCAATATTTATCTAATTGTTCTAATAAAATATTGACATTCGGAGAGTTGTCTCATTGGCAATCATACCACATCTTCTTATTTTTATTTTACATTTTTTTGTGTACATGATTGTGTCCCTGTGACCAATAAATGTTATAAGTATCCAGAACGTTACGATTACAAGCAACTAACGATAATACCTATGAATGTTGTACAATATCTATACTCCTATCTCTTACCTTGACATTTAAGTACAACACATAACATTAAATATGTTCGTTCAACCTAATGACTCCGATGAATGGTGATATTAAAAGTATTGTCCCTTTACCTCCGGTATTATGATTGTCATGTACATATCATTTATTGCGATATTCAAGATTCTGCACACATACACCCTGTTTCAACGTTAACAAAAAGCAAAATAAATGATCACGTGTCTAAATTACGACAGTTTTGTGAATATGACTTGATCATTTTATAGTTGATTGAGGTTTGATTTTATTTATAGATCAATTATCATCATGATTATAAATGGTTTTTGCCAAAATAAGACGGTCCAGAAGCTAAACAATTGCCAAAGACGTAAGGCAGGGAAACTTAAGCATAGATAACTTCGCTCACCTAATGATGTCAATACATCGGAACTATAAACAATCTGCGCCCCTTTAATAACAGACTTGTTCTTGTACTGTTATGAATCACAGTTTATGACCAAACTCATTAGAGACCCGTCTAAATAGCATTTAATTGATAAATTAAACAACCCTTACCGTTATCTTGATGATATTTTTTCGTTAAATAATCATTAATTTTCTAAATATACTGCCAAAATTTACCCGAAGGAACTTACTTTAAATAAATCAAATATAAACGGTAATAACTGTCCTTTCCTAGTCACTAGATTTAGACATTTCAGTTTTACAGGGGAAACTATACACTAAAATTTACGACAAAAGGGACGATTTTTTTATTCCCTATTGTTAATTTTCCCTTTTGTGGACGGTGACGTTCCTTTGGCACCATCTTACGGTGTTTATAAATCATGTAATCTATGTATTACTGGTAGATAATTAAGTCAGGGATTTCGTTACCACAAATTACTTAAAAACTTGACTAAATTCTTCCATATATATAAAAATTCTGTTTTGAAGTTTGGTTGTACCTGTAGAAAACTTATTTTTAAAGGGGATAGCACATCCTAATTTTTACGGAGATGTTGTTTACAGAGCCTGGAAATTTAGAAACGATCCGTGTAAACTTATCGATTATTTAAATAAACTTATTCTTAAGGTTACCAATCCAACACTATAATTATATTGTTTTTATTGGTATTAATATCGATTTTGTTATCAGTAAATTAAAATCAAACTAAATACTATTTTTATATACATGTGCACATTCATGGCTCTACAATCTATCGATACCTGTATCTTGGCATTGCACAAGGTCATGTTTTTCTCTGACTGTTAATGACGTCTTTACACTAAATCCAATGGATATTGGATGTGTACTGATTGATATTTTAGTCTTAGATGCATGATTTTTTATTAGTTGTTATTGGCTTTGAACTAGCTGTCAGTAACGGCGAGTACTCTCAGATCTGTATACTACTTAGTGTCTTTTTGTTGTTGGGATGTATAAGTAGCCTGCCAAGTCCACTCTGCTTTTGATAGATGTATTTCTATTTGTATCAATCTGATGAGTTAAGCCTTTTTCAACTGATTTTTATTGTTTGTTCTTATGTTGTACTGTTACACCACTGTCCAATGTTAGGGGAGGGTTGCCGCGCCTTCAAACTAGTTTAACCCCGCCACATTATGTGTGTGCCTGTCCCAAGTTAGGAGCCTGTAATTCAGTGGTTGTCGTTTGTTGCTGTATATAATATTTGTTTTTCGTTCATTATTTCGTACATAAATCAGGCCGTTAGATTTCTCGTTTGAATTGTATACATCTGTCATTCCGGGGCCTTTTATAGCTGACTATGCGGTATGGGTTTAACTCATTCTTGAAGGCCGTACGGTGACCTATAATTGTTAATTTCTGTGTCATTTGGTCTCTTGTGGAGAGTTGTCTCATTGGCAATCATACCACATCTTCTTATTTTTATACTGTACAAAAGTTCTGTACAAATTATGTATAACAGAAATTACCTTCAAGAAATGATGACCGATATCATGTGTCTTTGCCTCAATTCACAAGATGCATTTTGTTTGCGGTCGTAGGTCTTTAGATACCACGAAAGTAGTTGACTTCTACATTTATCTTTTGTTTCCTTTTTCATATTGACTTTTTGACTGACTGTAGATTCGCATAGCGGTGGATGCATTGCATGGATATTGGAGCATGATATGCTTACCCTGTCGTCGCATCCGTCTCTCCCGATTTCTTGAGACTTGTGTTTGTATTCTTCATGAAATGACAACATCTAAATATTCGTTCGAGCCCCGTACGTGCAGGTGCGTTCGACTTCAGTCTTAATTGACTGAATTGTTAGTTTTCCTTCCGATGGTCGCTGGTTCTCTCGGGGCACTCCGTCTGCCTCCACTAATAAAAACTGGCCGCGAAATAGCTAACAATGCTGGAAGTGGTGTTAAACGCCAATCAATCAATCAATCAATCAATCTATCTATATATCCGTAAACTACTCTTAATTTAAGTGACAAGTAATTCACCTACTTGTTAACTTTTAATCTCATTTGGTCTAAACAATGTAGTTTTGGTTTGGGTATTGTTTTTCAGCAAGCTATGGTCGATTTGATTTTGTGTATGAATTTTACATTAAAAAATTCTCATGCGGGAACAGTAAAAGAGGGACGAAAGATACCAGAGGGACAGTCAAACTCATAGATCGAAAACAAACTGACAACGCCATGGCCAAAAATAAAAAGAAAAACAGACAAATAATAGTACAGATGACACAACATAGAAAACTAAAGATTAAGCAACACGAACCCCACCAAAAACTGGGGTTGATCTCAGGTGCTCCGGAAGGGTAAGCAGATCCTGCTCCACATGTGGCACCCGTCGTGTTGCTTATGTTATTACAAATCCGGTATATTGTCTAATTCGGTAAGTCACATTCATGAAAAGGGAAGGGTATTGTAGTAACGACATAAGGAACATATCCGATATCATCTGTGAAACGGTTATTCCATAACGGTCAACCAACTCGTGATGGCGTCCGTAAAATTTACGAAGGGATGATTTCAACTCTTTTTAATTTGAAGCATCCGGTATGCAAACTTTCAGCGATCATATGATAAAGCTCTTCTAGGGTTTTCTGTTGCTTAATCTTTAGTTTTCTGTGTTATGTAGTATTTTTTGGACTGTTGTTGGTTAGTTTTGACAATAATGTTGTCAGTTTTTGATTTTGTTATATCGGTATTTTATTCTATTTTTATCCAAAGTAGTTACTATTCATTTTTAGAGGTATCAATTTCCATCTACTTCTGCTAATGTATGTTGTGATATGATTCATCTTATTTAATTTTTGCAACTACCGAAGAGGCAGTAAAAAAAAGATAAACTCTATAAAAATTCAAATGCTACTAGTTCAAATCCGAAATTAACATTTAAAAAGGGAACTCATGATAAAACAAAATGCGTACACCATACAGGAGGTCCTTTAAGGGGGTCCTTTACTTCTGTATTCTTTAAATTTTTTATGCCATTTATCTCTTTTCTTTATACCTTTTGCCCATTATTCTCTATTCTTTATATTTTAGCACCTCATTATTCTCTATTCTTTATATTTTAGCACCTCATTATTCTCTTTTCTTTATATTTGTTGTCCTTTATTCTCTATTTTGTAAATCTAATCCACATTCTCGTACATTTAAAAAAATATTTAGAACGTTATGACATTCATAAAAACAATCAAGTTTTTGTACTAGATTTTAAACCCGTATCTCTTATCATTGCGTCAGATTGATCTATAAAGAAAGTATAAAATGCAACCTGAAATATTTTTGTTCACCGTACGTTATTTCTGGGATACAAAGTGAGTATTCCTGTTCCATATACTATGGCACAATTTTCTGTATTAATCGAAATTATTGTTATCATTAACGATTTTATGTTAATTCAATTTAAGAGGTATGAAATCAAAAATCTGTCTTGATTTGATATTTAAAAATAGATGATCAACAACTGTTTTATAATGAATTTACGAAAACATGTTAATGAATATGGCTATAGTATATAACCTAGGTGAAATATAGCTATGTAAAAGTATATCATAGTATGCTAACAAATGTCACCATCCGAAAGAGCGACAAATAGTTTTTCTTTTTTTTTGGGGGGGGGGGGGGGGGGGGGGGGAGGGGGTCAAGGTACCACATAAACATACCTGATATAACTGCATTGATTGATCGAGTATTATTTAAAAAGAAAAAGAAAATAACAAACACAACAACTCTTGCTTGTTTTGACGCTAATGAAATAATGAAATATTTATCATTTAGTTTGACATAAGACAATTTCTTATATTCAAATATGCATTATGCATGTTATTTACATAGATCGTAACATTTTAAATGCATTAGCCTAAAAATGAAATAAATTTCATTTTAGTCCATTTTTTAGAAATGTATTACCTTTTTCAACCTTTTTCTTGATTTCATATGTGGCCCACACCTCGCCCATTACAATCTTGTTTAAATGTAAAGAATATGGTATATAAAGCATATTTTAGTGAAAATATTTGTGAGCGAGGAGCATACGTTATGTATGCCTTCATCAAATTTTCACAAATTATCGCAGTTTTAATTCGTCAATATTTTAGGGCAATTCTAATAAGCTAGAGAATCAACATTAATTTCTAGGATAAAACTGCTTCTGTCAGAAGCTGTTCTAACGAAGCCAGGAGAACTGCATTACTATACTGTTCTAGAATAGTTCTCCTGACAATTTCTGACACATTCCGAATAATATGAGATCGAGCCCCGTTTTTGGCGGAGTTCTAGTTGTTCAGTCTTAAGATTTCTATGTAGTGTTTTGTAAATAAGTTATCAACGGAGCATTTAAAGAAAGTTTGTTATAAATCACGACAGTACCGAAGCACTAACTACTGAATTAGTGATACCCTCCGGGACTAACAGTCCAACAGTAGCGGTATTACACAGTGCTAGTAAATATGAAAAAAAATTCGTGCATCCGAAGCACGTCTCATGATATACCTTCATCAGGAACACTCAGACAAAAAGATTTGAATTCAGAGGATGTGTAAACACCTAAAACTTTCATGACCTATATGACAGACATGTTTGTCAGTTCTCATTTTAAGTACATTATTCTATGTTGATTGTAAGGAAGTGATTTGAGTTCCTGTTTGAATTTTTAGCCTCATCTATGTTAAACTCCTGGTTTATTAATAACAATGAATTTTAAAGATGACAACTTAAAACAAAACGTGGCATATACATCAATTAAACAGTAGCCTAGTGAAAAATGACAAAAGAGTAAATATGAGACTTATGATGTAATCCATTTCAAATGCATAATTTTTTTTCTTGTATGTTTCTGCTTTTTTTTTTTAAATAGAGTTAGACACTTCTGCATTGGTTGTACTGGCATTTATATCTTTTAAAAAATAAGGTAGTTTCTTAGAATTACATTTTAATCTGATATTGTTTGAATAATTTGACATATTGCAAATAATTATCATCAAACGTGTTTCAAATGTAAAATGTTCCTTTATTCTGGCATATGATAGAGAACAAAAGTAGAAACACTTGCAATTGAGTACATGACATATACGTCAATCAAACAACATCCACACGACAATATTAAAGATATCAAAGACATCTCAAGGGCATTACGAAGTTTCGTATTTAAAACCTTTCATTTTTTGTAGATTTTAATATTAATCAACTGTATGATTTTGTAGCCACCATATATTAAATGGAGCTAAAATTAGAGGACATGAAAAAACTTATGGAGAAACTAGAACCAGTTCCCCAGCCGGAGTGGGACGGAATCAGTTATCCTTCATTCATTCCATTCAGAGAAAAAGGAGCAGAGAAAGTGATGCAAGATATTATGGATTTCAAATCAAGAGAATCAGATATCATTTTAGCTACGCATTCTAAATCAGGTAATACTCTGCCTTTTACCGATAATATATTCTATAAAAACCAAAATAATCACCATGGCAAAAAAAAAAACAACGAAAAAGTAACAACTGTCCACCAATCGACATACAAAAAACGGACGATGGAGCACGAATTCTGACAAAAAATTGATATTCTTGGAGTGTAAACAGTTTCTGCAGTGCTTCACTATTGGCACCCGTTGTATGACCCATTCTTTGAATTTTCGCACCCGTTGATGTCCAATTGAGAAAAAGAGTACAGGATAAGGCTCAGAAAAGTGGGTGTATATCGATTGTTATAAGATTCATCAAATTAAGCTATAAACGACAAATATTTTGCTTTTAAAAATTAAAATGATAGTGTGGTTTGAGTGTAGCCGATTTCTTTTGTTCTGTACTCCAAAAACATTGATGATCTAAAGCCACACATAACATTTATCCTAAACAGTCAAATGTTAATCGCAATTGTCAACAATATTTTGTGATGATACTTGCAAGCAACTATCATTTTGTTAAATCAAAATTAGCAATTTTGATGAGTTTTTGCATTACATTTTAAGTCAGTAATGATCACTTCAAAAAGTCCATATTTTATTTGCTTATATTATGAAGATTATAACAATAATCTGGTAAATCACGATACAGCGAGAACACGTTCAGAAAGTATTGATAGATTTTGATAAAAAGTCAACGTTAAACACATCAAGCCTAGTCGTATACAAAAAGGAAATGCAGATTGTAAACTGCTTCTTTTGATTGAATGAATGAATTAATGAATAAATACATTATTCTCAAAAAACAAAATGTTAGAGATAACATAATACATATAAACAATATACAAATATGTCGTGTATGTGTGAATTAAATATACAATTAACACTTAAGGTTCTAATGATCTGGAGGAACGACCTTCTCTTGGACGTTCTTAATAGATTTACACAGTTTTTTTCCAATATGATTACGTTGTTTAAAGAAAATAGTTGTTCGAACTTATAAATTTTTTGATTTCTATGACAAATATGTGACAGCTAATTTTGAGATGGAGAACATCAAACAGTACAAATTTTTCTGCATCAAATGCATATTTCGACAAACCAGTTCAAGATATTTTTTAAGATGCAACATTTATGTGAATACAACTCATACATTGGGCATACGTTAAACGGTAATCATTTAAATTGCAAACGATTTAGTGTGATCGTCTTGTCTTTTTTTATTGATCATTTTGTATAGCCATTTCAAATCATAGAATACTACTGTACTACAAAATAAGCAAGGATAAAATATTTTGTAAAATACTTTATGTACTATTCATTTGTCTGACATAAAGTACTCATTTACTATCAAGTTATATGGTCTTTTCTTAGTTTTATATTTTTTACTTAAAGGTACCCACTGGGGTTACGAAATAATTCAAATGTTACTGAGAAATACAACAGAGTTGGAAAAGGGTGTTAAAACTAACTCCATGTTGGAAGGTATAGGTGATTTGTCATCTTTAGACAGTACTCCATCACCAAGAATACTTGACACGCATTGCAAGTTCAAATATTTGCCTAAACAACACATCGAAAATAGGAATAAAATAGTCCACATTATTCGCAATCCTAAAGACGTATGTGTTTCATTTTATCATCACGCTCTAAAGGATAATTTAGTCAATTTCAATGGTTCCTGGAATGATTTCTATGAGCTATGGATGTCTGGAAAATGTAAGTATGTCGCGCATATTATTGTTTATGTTGCAAGGAAAGCATTGGTGATCACTATATACTTGAGTTATCTAATACGTATATACTGTATGCAACTAAACTTGGTAACTTCTCTCTAGTGTTGAATTCCTCAGTCTTAAATAAAAGCAATTGAATTAGCAGATGTTAACTGCGTAATAATCATAGCAGAGGTGTATCTCCTGTTTATTAATATTTGAGTACTGGTGTGTACAAAGCATGTATATATAGCGTATTATTTTACTGCATTATGTTGGAAAGCATATAATTCAAAACAATATTTTATTCATATCAAACTAAATGCAAAGAATTTTGTTTCAGACTTGACAGGAAAGAAATATTTAACTAAATTAGGTTTCCTGCAGATAATGAATCCATCTCATAATTAACACCCAAAGGGTGACTGAGGAATAGAAATATGGTCGTTTGGTCTTCTTTCGACCGGCAGTAAAATCCTTGCCAAAGCAAGTCTTCCGTTCGGTTGTGTGGAATGTATAAATTCGCAGTCACCTCTGGTCAGAATGGAGACGTTAAGTATGGCGCAGCTGGATGTTAAGCAACCAACAATCAATTAATCAATCATAGTTTGCAGCGTCTGAAATTGTACCATTACAAATATTACCAATGAGCAATTTTTTTATTACTCACAGTGGTGTACGGTGCTTGGTACAATTATGAGTTGGAAATGGAACAAGCAGAAAAGGATTTTCCTGGAATGATTTATACCTGTTTTTATGAAGATATAAAACAGGTAGTATAATATAACTGTATCTGACGACAAATGAATAATTTGGCTTAAGTCAAAACTATACAATAAATTAGACAATCTAAATGTCATCTTTCGACATTTCGGTGAGTAATCATCAGAAGAATACATTGTAGTGTTAGACGCGGCCCTCCACTTATTTGGTACCAAATGACGTCACCATGGGGATTTTTATCTCTATTGTTATTGAACAATAATAGAAATCAAGAAACATAGGATGTTATCTGTATTAGGGTTCATGATAACAATTGGACAAAAATGGCTGTGTCGACACCTAAAAATTTAATTTTTTCGTTCCTGCAAAAGGTGTAAAAATAAACTAAGTTCGATTAAATCTTTCAGATCTTGTAATTATATTATACAATACAATTATTACTTGAGAGGGGGCTCTCAAGTAACAATTGTATTGTATAATATTGATTGATATGAACAATAGAAATCTACACGGTAGGCGATTTAAAGGGTGTAACTGAGTGGACTGTCTAAAATGTAATTCAAGTGTTGTGTTTTTTTTTATCACCATCTGCAGTGATGAAAAAAAATGCCCATCAAATTCCAAAAACGATTTTATTTTTCTGACACACACAATACGTTTAACTTTAATTTATATATCTAGCGGATGGTAGGCCTTTACACTTTTCCATATGCACAGGTTAGACTGTATTCAGAGTAGGTTTTGATTGGTGAACAGCAATTTTTGTCCATTTTTTATGATGAACCCTAATTACAACAGGAAGCTGATGACACTTTCGTCATCATTTGTTACCTATCTCTATCGACCAAATTACTACAATAATTATTTAGGCACATAAAATATATCTGACCGTTGAACAAATTACACAAATGAAAACAGAAACCTATGTTATATGAGTATTTGTGAGAAAACTATTCATTAGAGACCGAAAGAAGAGGATGTAACCAGAAAAGACCACCGTACGTCCTTCAACAATCAGCAAAATTTAAATGTATAGTAAGTCATAAAAGGTCTCGGCATTACAAAATGTGAAACAATTTAAAAAGAGAAAATAAACGACCTGATGTATGCTAAAACAATATAAAAAAAACAAATATGACAGACAGCAACCAATGACAATCACTGACTTATATACATCCTGATTTGTGACAGGCACATACATAACATTGCGGGATTAAATATGTTTGTGAACCTTCAACCAGCATCCTAACATGAACAGTGTTGTAACAGCAGAACATAAGAACAGCCTGTCAATATCAGTTATCATGTCGGAACAAAGCATATACAACCCAAATAACAAAAAATATAAAAGATGCAAAATTGTCTTTAGAGTATTCGCAGTTACTTAAAGCTAGTTCAAAGCCAGTTTCAACTAATACATAAACCATTTCTAACCAAAAAAATACAAGAAATGTAATAAGTAGAGTATAACAAGAAAACGCAGTACGAATAAGTTGTTAATGCGACACTTTGTTAACCGCAGGAACCAGTTAAAGAAATAAAGAAACTTGCAGATTTTCTTGAGGTAGAGTGTTCAGCAACACATATTGAAGATGTAGCCAAGGCAACATCATTTAAAAATATGCAGGAAAAAAAGTTTGATATCACCCAGATTTTTGATGGCAAAGGATTTATTTATAGAAAAGGTAAGAGCGATATTCTTTAAGATTTCGTTCATTTTTGTTTTTTTTTTTTTTTTTTTGTTTTTGGTTTTTTTTAGGCGGAGGATCTTTTTGATTTCTTTCTCATTGATCATGTCGATGTGAACACAAAATTGGTTTCCATTCAAACGTCAAAATCGTTTAGATAAATCGTATTAAGATTTATTATTAACTGACATAACGAATTCGAATTCTGACTGTGGAAAACGCACATAATCTCTTATGTGCATTGTTCGCACAAATATTCAAGACAATTTAAAAATGTAATTTGCTAGACCTTATTTATTGATTTGAATCCGAAATATAAAGGACAATAAGGAAGTAGTCCAACGGTAGGAATAAATAAATGGTGATTATCGATTGGTGTTTAACGTTCAGTTGCAAATATTAAATACATAGCTGTCTGAGAACATGCTGATGGGACATGATTAGTAATCCAACTTTGTACTAGAACGATACATTGTGTCAGATTTTTAACATCTTCATGAACACAAAGTAAGGGCCAATAACAAGACATATTTTCCTATCCCGGCACATTGTTCTGATTCCGAGTCGACTTATCATTGATCTTAATCATGAAGGCCAGGTAAGTAGCGACGATGCAGCAAATTCCATTTGTTTTGAAGTCTTAAGTTTAAATCAGCCGTGGATCTATCACATGGCCCTCTAATTCGAGTCGAGTACTCTATCATGGAACAACAGAGGCGACAAGAATAAGGTGAGGCATATAGACCTTTACATACAGTATTGAACAATAGACAAACACCTGTACAGCATGTTTTGTCATGGATCTTAAACTAGTATTCTGGGTACAACAACAAACTTGCTTATTGAAATCACAAAAGTTATAGGGAGGAAAATGTTCAATGAAACAAATTTCAATAACCTTTTAAAATCACTGCACGGTACAATTTTTCTGCACATGATGTGCATTTCGCATACACATAACGTCTTTTCATTGATACACAAGGCTCACAAATTGTAAATTCAAAAATTAGTATAATCGACGAGGAATGGATGAAATAGAAAAGATCTAGGGTAAAATTAAACCCAAACCAGGAATCAGCTAAATGCTTGGTGGAGATTAATTTATTTATTTTAAATGATTTCATAAAAAACAGTATCCGTGTTTAATTCTTTATTACCGATATAACCAACACACAAACAATAAAGAAAAACAACATATACAATGTTCGTTATTACTGCAAACATGCTCAAACTTCTTAAGCTGATACAATCACGCATCCTACACTTATTTTAAAATCCGTCGCTGTAGAAGTATATGTCTTACTGGAAAGACACGAACATTGCAATATGACCTTGTGCAATGACCAATTAAATTTGTGCATAATTTCAATATTAAACATTTGGAAATTTTAACTCTTGCTTAAATCTATAGATAATTAAGCAAAACGAAATCAATCTAAAAAAGTACTAGTGGCATGACCTCAAGCAAATTATTATCACAAAGTCTTATCAAGTCCATATTTTTCAAATATTTCTGAGGTAGTGAAGGAATGGTGTGTAGTTTGCAGGTGAAAATATATAAGTTATAACGCACCAGTAAATTAAACAAAACTTAATATTTACCATTTTAGGAGAAATAGGTGACTGGAAAAATTACCGATATAACTAACATACAAAAATATAAAGAAAAACAACATATATCCATTCGTTCGATGTGTTTGAGCTTTTGATTTTGCCATTTGATTAGGGACTTTCCTTATTGAATTTTCCTCGGAGTTCAGTATTTTTGTGATTTTACTTTATACAATGTTCGTTATTACTGCAAACTTCCTAAACTGATACAACCATCGCATTTTACATTTGTTTTAAAATCCGTCGCTGTAGAAGTATATGTCTTACTGGAAAGACCCGAACATTGCAAGACGACCTTGTGCAATGACCATATTTTTTAGATATCGCTGAGGTAGTAAAGGAATGGTGAATAGTTTGCAGTTTAACATATAACGCACCAGTAAATTAAAAAAAACTTAATATTTACTACTATTTCAGGAGAAATAGGTGACTGGAAAAATTATTTCACAGTTGCACAGAATGAACAGTTTGATATTCAGTTCAACGAGAAAATGAAAGACAGTAATCTCAAGTTAACCTTTGCATAGAAGGATACAAAGAAGGAGGTTCATTATAGGATTTACTTGACTTAAATATGAATTAAACATGTAAAAAAAAGATCACACGATAGTGCTTTTAAATCAGTTAATGTTTTGGATGACAAATTCCATCTTGTAAGCAAGTATGTGTGGAATGTCACAAAAATAACTTCTTGTCAAATGGTGTTGGATTCATTCCCTTCAAATTACTCCGTTTGTTCATATGCATATACAAAAGTATTGTTATACCACAAGATATACCTTGGGGAAACAAAACCTGTATATCTTATTTGTAACAATGGTGTATATGAGAGTGATAATTAATGTTCAGTTTCAAAATAAGGAGATGTGGTATGATTATACCAATGAGACAAATATCCATCAGAATTCTAATGAAGTGGATATACATGTAAGTAAATATAGGTTACCGTGTACGACCTTAAAAAAATGAAAATAACACACAATCAATTTACTGCATCCGAAGCGCTTTTCTGGATTTACCTTCACAAGGAACGCTCAATGCCGAATGTTTGAAAGCCCAGAATGTATAAAAACAGAAACAGTTGAAGAGCTATATGACCAATAAAGGCAACAGTAGTATACCGGTGTTCAAAAGTCACAAATCGAAGACATTAAAGCTTTGGCCTAATGCATCAACATACATGTTTACTATCTTGGATATATATTATCACATATGTACACCCCAGCCACATAATACCAATTACTCTACCGTTAAACAAATTGGACAATGGAGATTAAAAATTACTTTTCAGTTTTAAACGAAATGGTGCCTTACTGAACCCCCTGTAAAACAAAACAACCAAAAAAAAATATAAAATATTATCGGGTAATGATTTACATAACAACAAAATAATAGATATTTTTTGGATCATGTTGATGACTGTCTGTCTTATCATTTGGTTTCAAGCCATATACCTTTTGGTTTTACTATTCATACTTTTTAGTATATACATCTTGAAGTTCAAACGAAAATACATTTCAAAATATGCAATTAGATTTTCTTAAATATAAAACCCTTATCAAGTGTAATCATTCGGCCATTTTATGAGTATGACAGACAGATAATGCTGAACGTACATTGTGGCACGAAAAAACTAAAGTATAACCAAACAATTTGATGATGACTGTGTAATGACGTTTCCCCATGATCTTCTTTTATAAATATTTATATACACCAAAGTAAAATTTTACTTATTATACATATTGAACATAATATTAATATTTCATTTTTTTGCAAAGTTTCCCTTTAATGTTTGTACTTGTATTTTTTATACAACAACCCCTTTAGAAAAATATTTACGTTTCACTCACAAGACAGGAATACAAAAGATCAGTGTTATAGATTAAGTAAAATGAAATGTTCAATGAAACTTTTGTAATGATGCAATTCGACACGTTTGCTGTTTTTGTTCATTTACAAGAATATTTTTAAAATTACATGTAAGTCACACATAATTTTAATATAATGCTACTGATAATCTACAATATTTTATTTGATATATTTATGATATTAAACTGTATGTCATTTTCAAATACATAGGGACATACTGTGGTTTATACATACTACCACTTATCGCGTGAACATATAAGTAAGATCATACCGACAAGGCGAAGACAAGTGGACCAACAGATGATAAGAACAAACACTATTGTCAGTACATCTTCAGGTTTTGATTAAATCTATATTAAACATGCACATATAAATATAAAAGGTATTTTTCATTCACGAAGTTTAATTTCTAGAAACCTTAGCACACAGATGTATTTTATACACAGACAGTTCTTTTATTATCATACCTTCACTGTAACTTGTTTATGAGGTATTTACCAAAATATATAATCCAGATTAGTACTGCAATAATTGCTTTTCACCGTACTCGCTATTTTTGAATTTCGTCTAATGTTATTGTTCTCTTCTGTATTATATTCTTTTATTGCACATCACAATATGAAAGGAACAAACAAACCGATCAATCCATCTTGATATTGTTTTCATTTTTTCGACTGATCCTAGATTGCCTATTTTGTATACATGATGATGATTTTCGATCTTCATAGAAATGTTTCTATTTATTTTTTGATTATATAAAATTTCTCTTCTTTAATCAATTTGATATTTCATCACGTGGATAACTAGTTAATAAGATTTAATCTCTCAATTATTGACTGATACGCACATAATATATTATCAGTCATAATTAGGAATACAATATCAGGATTGATTTATCGTTTGTTTGTTTGTGGCTTTTATTTTGTATTGTTCAGTATAGGAATGTTACTAGGAAGAGGTCAATAACACCAGACGAAATTATAAGTAACTAGAAGGGTTAAAGAGAGACAAAAAATACCAAAGGGACATTCAAATTCATAAGTCGAAAATAAACTGACAACGTCATGGGAAAAACGAAAACGACTAAAAAACAAACAACAGTATACAAAATATACATAGAAAATTAAAGACTGAGCATCACGATCACCATCAAAAGCCGGGGGATCTCGTGTGCTCCGGAAGAGTAAGCAGATCCTGCTCCACATGACATGTGGCATCCGTCGTGTTGGTGTTGCTCATATACGTAAAGTTACAGATGACAACTTTAACTTTTTCTCATTTTGTCATGCGGGAACCTTTAATAGCTTACTATACGGGATATGTTTTGTTCATTGTTGAAGGCCGTTAGTGACATATAGTTGTTTACATCCTTGTCTTTTGGTCGATTGTGGATAGTTGTTCCATTGGCATTCATATTACTATTTTGATTACAATCCGTCTTTTAAAGGTTCTACCTTCCTATTTGTATAATACGTACTCTGGAAACTCTACTGAAAATATTTATCACATAATTAATTTGTAGATCAAAACAAAACCTACTGAAGAAATGCAATGATAATGTACCATTATACAATAAAATGCAGAAATCAATAAGTAATAACTTGGACTGCCATACATATAATACTTATAATATCGATACGTGAAAAAAACCACAAAAAGTGTATATTTTGAAAGGTAGACCTGGTAACAATACATCTAAAGCGCAAATTAACTAAAACGTCATAGGTATTAAAAATGCCAAAAACTATAGTTCATTACAATTATATGTATGATTAACTGGTATGTTTATGCAAATGTATTTCAATATTTAGCAGGTAAACGTAAATAAATATAAAAAGGAGACGTTGTATAATAACTATATTGTTGAGATCCACAGAAATGGACTTCTTGTCCTTTCTTAAATAAAACAAAATAAGTAGTATCGTCATTTGTATTAACACACTTTGCCATTTTATTAAATAAAGAAAGACCTTTATTCGATTGTTTTCTTTCTCTATCCCTTTTTCTTCTCAAAAGCTGTTCAGGTGTTCCTAACACCTTCATTTAGAACTTTCCTGTCGACGTGCTGCGAATTCTCTCTACAAAAAAAATAACGATTTAAACATATAAATATTTCACTTTCTTATGATACTCGAAAGATTTTTGTAAACGCATTTACTAGCATGAATACAATTTCCAGAAAAAAAATCTATTTGAACAACCAAATTTTGTGAATTTTTTCACAAGCATGAACCAATTTTTACTGGTCAGGGGCTTGTCCAAAGTTACGTGCCCCTGATGCGATCGTTTGGTTTTTGGATGGCAATCTTATAGATGAAAAGATAAAATAATGGCGGAACAGGGTAGTCGTTTCAAACTTTATACCGGAAGATTCGAGGAGATCCTTTATTAGCCAGTTAACGGTAGAAAAGGTTCAGTTTGAGGATGCTGGGATATATGTTTGCAGAAGCTCAGCTCCAAGTATAAATACTGATGTTGAAACAACGAGCATCAACGTTCATGTTCTTGGTGGTAAGTAATAGATACATGTATGATATAGTACAATATTATTATTTGATTGTATGTAATACCTTAGCGCAAAAGAGAGGCGAAAGATACCAAAGGGACATTCAAACTCATAAGTCGTAAACCAACTGACCTTGCTATGGCAAAAAAATAAAAACGACCAAAAGACAACTACAACATTATACAAAACAGAACATAGAAAACTAAAGACTGTACAACATTTGAATTTCGCATAAACTATTTCTTTCTACAAAATTCGATTCGATTTTAAGGTACATGTAGTTTATACATTGATACGGCTGACTGACTAAAATGAGATGTTGTAATGAGATTTATCTTGCGGGATGCCTGTTTACTACAAGACACAATAATGATTGAGTACCAAGACGATTCAGTTTATTTCTGGTTATCTTAAGACCTGATTCCTGAAACCAATTGTCATTACCAGATTACTGATAAATCGTTACATCAGATGGATTATTAATTGCAGTTTGCCTGATCATTGCATAACGAGCTGTCTTGTCAGTAAAACTAACCAGAATTGTCTTATAAAGCAATTAATTTCTGACTTAGGATCTTTACAGTGTGTAATTGGAATTACGTAAACAGTTTACATGTCGATATAATGAGTTCATTAATTTGTTAACGGTCCAGCCTCTCTTTTGATTTCACAAACATGTTTATTGACACAAGTTTATAAATATTTATTTATTAATTAGCGGTTTCTCAACCGTAAAAGGAAAGTCTAGCCGCTAAACAAGTAAGAAACAAGTCAACTCTCCATTTTGTTCTAACAAGTAATGGAGTTAAGCCAGAAATGTTCATATGAATCTTAATCAGAAGTCAGTTGTGTAACAAATAAAATATAAGCAGTACAATATAATACAACGAGTTAAACCATTATATTTATAGAGCATCTTAGTTTTATACAATTTTTTGTGTATCATTTGCTTGATTATGTGCCACGTTGTGCTATTACAAACTTTAATATCATATGAAAACCTTTAGCCATTTTGAAGCACTTGCCTTTAT